TTCAGGAGAGAAAAGTTATGCGATGCGAAAGGAATGGCACCCGAGCAAGTAGCACGAGATGTGCAATTTGGCTAGTAGAGATGCATATTGCTCATGTGTTTGCATTATGTGAATGTCGTGACCATGCCACATGCAGAACATTATACATTTCTTTTGTTTTTTGTATCACACGGTGGTTGATGTTACTATTCATTATTCACTTGGTGTTTACTATTCAATTACTTTTTATTATTATTTATTTTGACTAGCGTGCTCTCTTTGTTTCTCTCTCTCTCACCGCCTATTGTTTTGCCTCTCTCTTTCGTATTCCTTGCTGGGTTGTACAAGAGTGCTTTGACAACATGTATATGTACACAGATGGCTATCATGATTGTGAACGAGTATCAAAGATTTAAGAGGAGAGGAAAATGAAAAATAATACAAAGAAAAGCACAAATCGTTTTCATACTAGCGCAAAACGTCTTTTTTTTTTTTTTTACGATGACTAGCTTGATCATAGTGCATCATCATATATGTAGTCCAACCTAACTTTGTAACCAGTCCATTATCCACTGTCTTTTTTCTTTTCTTTTCTTTTCTTTTCTTTTTTTTTCTTTCTCTTTCTCTTTTTCCTTGTCTTTATTGTCTGTATTCTTATTCTTTCAATTGTCATTTGTTGTTATTCATTCAAATACATGTTCATTTGTTCTCCACTTGCTCAATTACACAAATAACCTTTTATTTTTTGTACACACTAATTTCCTTTTAACCACACTTCTATATATCCCAAGACTCTGTCCTCAAAAAAATTAAATAAAAAGAGACCATCGCCTTTAATACATTTGCTATCTTTGGCGTAGCTCTCTTCTTCCTTTTGTATCCTCCTTCATATTAATTTTTTTTTTCTGAGTATCTCGATTCTTTTTTCTATCTCTCCCTCGACACTAGTTGCTCTCCTGTTCCCTTAACTTTACAATTCCTCCGTGATCAGGATACCCGAGTCTAAAGTTCTTCAGGAACCAATTCATTTTTTATAAAAACAACAAAAAAAAAAAGACCCATTTCAATTGCATTGTCCTTCTTCTTAGTTCCTTTACTTTCAACTTCTTGGTGTAATTCAAACTTCTTGTCCATTACTTTTTATCATTACCAACGTTTTCTTTTCTTGTACAAAAAATATATTATTTTATCTTTATTACACAACAAAATCATAAATAGCACAGCCTGCTCTCACTTAAACACGAGAATGATTGTCGATATCCTTCCCTTTCGCCTAAAAATGGCTTCGATTGAAAAGACTGATATCCCACGCTGTACTCACCAGCTAATGAAGCTTGTACTTTTTCCATCAGGGTAAGATGACCTGTCTAACCACGTTGATACTAGCTCTTTCTAGGATTATTTATGATATATTTTTCTTTTGTTACCCCACAGTTTCAACGTTTTTTTTTTTATATTATATATTTTATATTTTATAGAGTCGTCATTGTCTCATTGACTAACCAAAAACTATCTTATCACTTTAACCTTTTATTCTGGATATACTCAATTTGCTCATACTACTCATACTACTGCTCTGACTTGGTGTGACAATGGTCACCAATTTCTCCATCTTCACGATGGTTACAAACCTTTTTTTCCTTCTTCTTAGGCCACAGCACTTTTTCTCTTATACAGAGTCAGACAGAGAGGTTTCGATGATTCTAGACGAAACTCATATCCCTGGATTTCCCGAGGATGCTCTTGATGTCTGTAATGTAATCTGGAGGGCCGTTCAGATTGAGCCAGGCGAGTCGGGTCTCGGTATGTGTTATTATGAATTATTCACGTTGTTAGACAACTCAAACACCGATGATGATCCGAATACATCTAAAAAAAAAAAAAATCGCGTACAAACAAAAAGAAAGAAAAAGAACAAAAAAAAATAATAATGCAGATGAATTTGGACAGGGACCTCACTATCTCTGTCGCTATCTTCCTTACATTATTCTCTCCGTTCTTGATCTTGATAACTTTTATTGTGGTTATCCACTATTCAATGATATAGTCTTTATAAAATAACATTGTCCTTGTAGCTAATGATTGGCTGTTATATTGCATATATATGTATTTTTTTCCCCCTCATGTTATTAGACGCCCTTGAAGTGGTCTCTCAAATCTCAAAACCATTGGCAGATATAAATGTATCCATCATGTAAGTTGTTTAATCAGTCGGTTGTTCCATCATATTCCTTGCAGGCAGGGCGAAT